CCGACAACCACGGCGGGAAAGGAGTGCGTTTGAGTACATTCGTGGTCGTGGTCGTGGTCGTGGCCGTGGTCGTACATCGTCATCAAGTGGTAGTCAAACTTCTTCGTCGGTGAATATGCCCGGCACCGGTACGGTACTTTAGTTTAATTTACTTTTTAGAGTGTTTGTTTAGTTTTCTGCTGACTTGTTAATTGTGTTTTTTGATGTGTGCAACAGGTAGAATGGACATTGAACATTTTCCATATAAAGACAGGATCCCTAACATCATGATGCCGTTCCTGGACGGGTGGAATGATGTGGTTGCAGATGGTAACTGCGGATTTTCGGATTCTAATTTTCGTATTTAGTTTTCCCATTTAAATGTGAACTTGTATTTAATTTTCGTATGCCCACTAATTACAACTTAAAATAAAAATTATAAAAACTAAAAATATAATGTCAAATTCTAAGAACTTAAAATAATAATTATAAGAATAGATAATGTTAACTTTTACAAACAACTAGGAAAATGTTATATAAATGCACTGCCGACATATCAATAATCTCTCTGTGACGCCCACTGCCACTGCTCAAGGGCCCGTTCCAGTTCATCAATAACAGCTCTGCCTGTTGCAGTCGTCATGTTGTCCCTCTCCTCAAAAAGTCTGTGTCCCAACTGCGTCATCTTTCCCATCCACTACACATAACAAAACACATAAAATTCAATAACGACGTATTATATGAAAAAAAACAAAATTTTAAAATTTTATTTTTTTTTTAATTTAATTTCTCTTTTTTTTTCTTTTTTTTTTGTTTTGAATTTTTTTTTTGTTTGTTTGTTTGTTTTTGTTTTTTTTTTATTTGTTTTTTATAATTATGTTTTTTTTATGGATTTTTGTTTGCGTTTGTTTAATTTTGTTTTAATTTTTTTTTGAATTAAATTTTTTTTAATAAAGTTTTTTTAATGCATCTTTTAAACCAAAACAAAAAACTTACAAAACTTAAAAAATATAAAATTATAAAAACTTAAAAAAAGAAGAACATCAAAATTTTAAAAAAAATTTATAAAAAAAAAAAAGGGAACATAAAATTTTTTTTAAGTAAAAAAACAAATTCAAAAAAAAAAAAACAAAAACAATAAACAAGAACATAAAATTAAAAATTAAAAAAAAAAAAAGAGGAACATAAACTTTTTTAAAAAAAAAGCAACAAAATTTAAAAAAAAATAAAAAAAAAATCAGAAACATAAAATTTAAAATTAAAAAAAAGAAAAACAAATTTAAAAAAAAACAAAAAAAAAAAAATTATTTTCGAAATAAAAATTTCAAATTTAAAACCAAAAAAAAATTAAAAAAAAAAATATATAACGAGGCGCCTAGGCCAGACGCCGTGACGGTGGCGGCGGCGCCTAGCCCAGACGCCACTACCACGGCGGCGGCGCATTGGCCAGACGTTGGTGCCGTGGTGGTGGCGTCTGGGCTAGGCGCCGCCGCCACCGTCACGGCGTCTGGCCTAGGCGCCTCAGCCGTGGTGGTGGCGTCTGGCCTTGGCGCCGCCACCGCCTCCGAACTTTTTTTTTTTATTTTTTAAAAACAAAATTAATAAAAAATACCTTCTCGCCGGAAAACCGCTGTCCACCCGCCGCCGGTGCCGCCACTTCCTTGCCGGGCCGCCTCGACATCGCTCGGAAAGTTTCTTAGAGAGAGAAAGTGGAAGTAGAGAATAGAGAGAAGAAATTGTGTTTTTTACTTTGAGGGCAAAAGTGTCATTTCACTCTAATTTTGTGGGCTTTATGTGGAGATTTGCGGGCGATGTTTAGCAATCCACTAAAGTTTTAGTCACTTAAAAAGTGAAACATGTCCCACAAATCAGGAAGTTGCCAATAATGATAATGCATGCTTTAATATGAAATATGCAATCTAGTTTTTTAATAGTAAAATGTACTGTTTATTGACCATTATTGGGGTTCTTGCAGTCTTAAAAAAATAGATTTTGGTTATGTTTTTTAGATTAATCTAATGGGAAAGGTAGATCATAGATCTATAAGATACTAATAATACAATTATTATCATATTAACAATTAGCTAATTTGAAATCAAATTTGGACATAATATATAATCCACAACTTTATTTATCTCACTCTATATCTAATACCCACTAAGTCATTTAATTGAAGATTGATAATCCTTATTAGATTATAAAAACGAAAGCCCTTTAATATAAAAACTCATTTTTTCCCCCAACTATTTATCTCTCTACTACCAAAACAAACAAATGAGATTATTTTTACTATGGTAAAAACTAAGAAAAAGTGTTAGTGATGGGGAGCAAATTACATTTAACTCCGTCTATAGGCACGCCAATTCATAAAGTTATTTAACGTAATTTCTAACTCTCGTTTATAATTAAGTTCATGGACGCTATATTACGTCATTACTAACTTAACAAAAAATGTTCCATTCTTGTTAATCATTTGCCAAGTGACATTATATCATTTAAGGACCTTATTACATCTTAAATTACAAACCTAATTAGTCTAACTAAAATTGTACCCACGTCTCAAATACAATAATTAAATGCTTATTCACTTATATTACTTCATATTTTACATGCTCTTTCTAAACAAAATAAATATTTGATAATGAACTTCGTAAATAATCACAAATAAAAAGTTAGTGGAAATATATACAATGCTATAGAATTATGAATTCTTAGTTGTTTGTGGATACACCTTAGGTGCATCCCCGAGGCCACATATTTTTCAATTTTATTTTTCAAGAGTAAAATAAATAGTGAGCATAATAAATATACTTTGAATGTATTCAAGAACAAAATAACAATACTCCACAAACAAGGTAAATATTTCTAATTTTTAGAAAAATATATAATGTCTCACAATAAATTAATGCGATAAGTAACTAATCGTAGTTGGTAAATGTGTGTCGACACGAGACGGATTCTATTTCCTTCAAAATGGGAATTCATTGAGATTCATCTTTTGACAAATTCTTAGGCAATAAGTAATCCAGTACTCGAAAGCAAGTATCTTTGATTGATTCTTCACCACAATTGCACTAACAACACAACAATCCTATTACAAGGGAGACAATCAACTCAGCATGTCCAACTTTTCCAAGAATATGACGCCCTTTGCTTAGTCTGGCTACCCTAATTCGTCTCCTTTTTACCCTTGTTCCACTGTTATTCATTCATTCATATTCGACCCACTTCAAAAAAGATAAAGCTATCTCAAAAAGGAAACCAAGAAAATTATTGAAAATTCTATTAAGAAATGTTTTTGCTTTTTGGATTTTATAAATATCAACTTGGTGCTTCATCTTTTGCTTTGTTTTTTCCTATCAAACTAATGGGTACTTGTGATTGCCCACTTAAGATTCTGGGGTTTTCATCTGTTTTTAATTACTTTGCAAAACCCAGAATAGATTATGCTTCTTGCTGAGAATTTGAGGTATTTGATGAATTTTTCTCTTACACTTATTTAATTCTTTGTGTTATTTTGATTGTTTTTGCTAAATATTGTTCATTGGTTGTGTTTAAGATTATTACTTTGGACTTTTGTGTTTGTTATAATAGATATTTGTGTGTTGTAGAAAATTTTGGTAACTTTGCTTATTGATTGATTAAGTTTATGATTGTAGGGGGTTTGTTTATTGTATGAAATTGTTTTTGGTATGTGTTATTACTGAAACTTAGGTTGCTGTTTAGGCAACATTTGGAAGTTGGTGTTAGTGTTTAATCATATATTTTTACATTTTATATGCTCAGGAAGTATTGAATTATTGTTGGGAAGTAAGATATCTACAAAATCACAACATCTATATGTTAGTATTTGAATGATCGGTTCTTACTCGGACTTGTTACGTTTTAGTCGTGTGACTGAGTTGGTATCAACTTAGGAGCACTTTCTCTGTTTCACTTGTTTTGTCCTAATTGATGAAATCTTTTTTGAGTGTTTATGGTAGTCAGTAGTAGAATCCTTTAGTGGTGTTATGCATTGATTGATCGTAGTAACAGTGATCAGTTAACTTCAAACATCCAATATGAAAGCTCAGAATATCAAGTCTTGTGGAAGTAGTAGTGATTTTTATTTGTTGTAGGGGGGAGGGCTGAGAAGAGTGTTGGTGGTGTAAGAAAGGGGCTTGATGGTTTTGCAATTGAATATGGCTGGTCAAAAATAAGTCCAAATCTTTCGTTATCTATCTATCATGTATAAGGTGCTTGCTAATTTGCTATAACTATGGGAAGAATTAAGAGCGAGGTTTGATTCTACAATTATAGATTAATAATCGCTGAATCACTCAGTGATGCTTATGTACATAGATATTCAAGCAGAATTGTTTATTAGGCTTGGATGTTTAATCTTTGTTGTCTTCAGGTTTCATCTGTGTAAGGCACTGGACTATTTGTGTATACTCCCCAATTATTGTTGGAAAAGAGAAATTCTCATAATCATGGCCTCTTCATAAAAATATTTCTGATGTCATAGTTCACCTTAGAACATTGCAGAACCTTTTTTCTCTTAGTTTGCAGATAAAGGGAAGTCATTGTCGAGACAACTTTTTTTCTTTATTGTCTTAGTCTATTTCTTTGTCTGAACTTATTAGAGGGACTTGTAATGTTCAAGTGCGGACAATACCTCAAGAATTACTTTCATAAACAGGCCATTGATGGAAAGTGTTACATTTTTTCTCAAGTTTGTATTCTCAATATGATTACAAAATTTTGACTACATAGGGCATTATGGTTTTTGAAATCCTTAAGTTTAAAAGTTATGATTTACATGTGCATAGCTGATGCGTCTTTAAATTTGTCTTCATGGTCCGTGACTGCCTGTCACACTAGATAATTGATCTCCAAAGTTGATGTTTTGGCAGCCTTTCACCCTTTCTGCAATTTTTGCTTGTAGTTATGAGTCTAGTCATTCAAGTTTCTTAGTTTTCTTGGGCTTTAGTGCTTTTTCTGTGTTGGCTATTTATGTTTCCTTTCTTATTTTGTAGATCATGAGCTCCACCACAATTCAAGTTACCAACTCTGCAACTATGGGAATATACGAATTACCTAAAGCAATGAGCATGTGGAGGGATACCTCAAAAGCGTTGATGACTTCCGGCGCAGGTACATCTTCAAGCACACAGGCGGAATCTGGACATGAGAATAAGGTGAAAGTCAATGATTATTTCTGTTGCCAAATCCAAGCATTCTTGTTTCAAGTTATTCTACAGGGCTTTTATCCTTTTTTTTTTTTTTTTTTTTTTTCTGTGCTCAGTTTGAATATGAGTATGTTTCTCCTGAGATGATGGAACCGTCCTTAAGTGTTGAAGATGCAGCAAGACTTTCTGAGAAGGTATCATAATGTGATTTCCGTTTCTTGTGTCATGTATGTGAGAGGTCCTCAATTTTAAGTTGGGAACCCTAAATGTTCATGGTGAAGTTTAAGATTAGCATGAATAGTTGTAGTTAGTTTGTTTCCTTTTCATCTCCTCTAGCTCTGAATTTCTAGTGAGACTGGTTATGTAGTCACATTAGTCTTGATTGTTATTGTCAGGATCCAGAAGGAGCCAGAAAGGGGAAAAGAAAAAAAAAAAAAAGGAGAGAAACAAGAAATGAGGGAAGGGGTTAAGATGGTAGAAACTGATGCTACATTGTTATATACAACTGATGTAACATTGTTATAGCATGCCATCTAATGTATTTTAACATTATCATTGAGCATCAAAGAGGTTTAGTAAAGTGTATCCACTCCAACTCTAGGCAATGCCATTTTAGCCTGCTTGTCTAACTTTGTTTTTCATATATCCGAGAACGTATCTCTGGTTTGAGGTACACTTGCTTCGTTCAAAAATCTTGTAATGTTCAGGGCTGTAGATTCTGAAATAAAACACGTGGTTGCAGGTTCAAAGGCGTTTGGCACAAAATCGTGAAGCTGCAAGGAAAAGCCGCATGAGAAAAAAGGTACATAGGTCTGCAAATTGAGGAAGCAGCTTATAAATCTATGTACTATTGAATTGTCTGGGTTAATCCAATATGCTTTCATTCTTACAGGCTTACGTTCAGGATTTAGAAAGTTGCCGTTCGAAGCTTGCTCAGTTAGAGCAACAAATTCAGCAAACTAAACAACAGGTGGGATTTCTTTTTCATCTTCATCAAAACCTGAAATTACTCGGGACATTGTGAGGCTCATATGATTTATCAATGGAATGGTGAATTGACTGTAACAGAACTCGTATGTTGGGGCTGCATTACATGCTAATCTTGGATTTGCAGGACATATCAGCACAGGTTTGTGTTTTTTTGTAGTTTATGATATGTTTGCATGCTGCAGGCTTCACTGATTGGCATCTATATTTTCCGTCTATGCTTTCATTGTCATCAATTTTATTATCTGACTCAACCTTCATGTTTATCAACGAGTTCAGATTTTTATCCATAGTTATTGCTATCTCTTTGCCATACAATTTACTATACTGTTTTAATTTATTCGATTTTCTTTCTCTGCATTTATTTTTGTAGTATAATTTGATACTGTGATTTGCTCATTTACTCACTAAAGCTATAGCACCATTAATATGATGTTATGTCAGTTTCTGATTTACCGATTTATTGATACTTAGTGTGAGTAGCTGCTGATATTGCTATCTCTTAGGCCATTGACTGCTTATCATCTGCAGGATTATCCACATTTGAAATGGAATATGGACACTGGGTTGAAGAACAAAATCGGCAGAATTGTGAACTTGAAAATGCTCTACAAGCTGATGTTTCTGATGTTGAGCTGCGAATCCTTGTAGAAGGTGGCTTGAATCACTATTACAGCCTCTTTCGGATTAAAGCAGATGCAGCAAAGGCTGATGTTTTCTACTTGTTGTCTGGCATGTGGAGAACACCAGTTGAGCGGTTTTTTCTCTGGATTGGAGGATTCCGGCCATCTGATCTCCTAAATGTAATTCCTTGTTTTATTTCTTTGTCTTAGCTTTTAATACCATAGCAGGTTATGCATCTGTGGAGCTGGGGGAGATATAAATATAAGCTGAAACCAGAAAGAGTCCTAATTTGAAGGGTAGATAAACTATGCATAGGTTTGAAATCCTTTGGATGCTTCTTTCTGTGGGTATATAAAATTATAAAAATAAAACCTCTTGTCTAATCCTTAACGTTCCAACGTCCTGTAATGATGGATATACGCTAGTTGTTGCTTTTTGTTTCATTGATAGCTGCTGGCTGTGACTTTCTAAGCTTATGAGTCATCTTCCTCTGTCTAAGATGAGTGTTTTTATATAGAAATTTCCGTTGATGTCCTGCTAGTGAAAATTGGATGCTCCTACAAGTGACTTCACATTTTTAGCATTCTTCATCGGATATCTGATAATAACTTGGTCGCGTAATTTGTAATCATCTTGCTATCACATGAAGTGCCAACTTAACTCATATTGCCTTGTTTTCTTGCAACTTGAGCAATTTGTGTTGAGTTGATGTTGTTAACTCATAAAACATACTCCCTCAGTCTCAATTTTATCTTGCACTTATGCTTTGGCACTCCTATTTGTATGCAAGATGCAAACTAAAATATTAAAAGTGGATAGAGAGAAATTATTAGAAAGAGAGAATTTTTTGCCTAATAAGGTAAGAGTGTAATTAAATGGGATGGAGTAGAATTTTAAGTAGATAAAGTTTGAGACAGGGTGAGTACTTATATGTTTTTCTTTGGATGCGTGTCAAATTGATGTAGTTGCTTCATTTGAATCAGTTTTGGTACCAAAGTCCTTAAAGTTGTTTATAATATTTCAATGTATGGCTTATTGCAGATTCTTATGCCACAACTTCAGCCCTTGAGCAATCAACAAATGGAAGATATTAGTAAACTACGATATGCATCCCGACAAGCTGAGGAGGCCCTGTCAAGAGGGGTGGATAAACTCCAGCAAACTCTAAATGAGATCATGTTCACTGATCCGTTGGCTGTAGAAGTGTACGGCTTTCAGATGGCCTCCGCATTGGAGAAGTTAGAAGCTATAGAAGGCTTTGTGAACCAGGTAATTCACTAATGCATGTCATCTCCCATTCTTGACATCATCTTAATCATTCAATGAAATCTTAATATGTAGTTGCTTGTCATGTGGCGTTATTTTCTTATCTTTTGTTTGCTTTGACATTCTGATTGCTCACTTCACTATAATAGCTACAATACTTGATAGTTTGGACCTTCTTTTGGGAAGCAGGGGAAAACAAGAATGTTGCAGTTGCTTTCCATATCTCCATATATACTTAGTTTATAATAGGTTTTCTTGATGAAAGTTGTAAAAGAAAAAAAATTTATTTGATGAGAGGATAGTTACATGATAATGATTGGGAACCTCATGTCAAAACAGCGATGTGTGCCTAAGTGTCAGACACGACTATTTTATGAAAATTTCCATGGTCTAAAATGAAGTGCCAAGTATCTATGCCATGTCAGGGTGTTGATGATCCAACACAAGTAGTTGGGGTGGAACGAAGAATCCCAGGTAACATAAATTGGTAAGTAGAAGCCAGTTTGGAGTATTTTGAAACATGGATGAACTGTTTTGGTCTGCCTAAAGGCGGTTGAGTAGCTATCATTTATTACATGTCAACCAATGACCTCAAGTGTGCTCATACCTAATTGCTGCAACCTGTAAAGTAACTTTGCTATTGGTGGAAGATACTTAGATTGATAAAGAAAACTTGTCATTAGAAGTAGGTAGCAGAAGGAACAGGATGAGAGAACCTATTCAATTTTAGTCTATATATTGATTTGTATGCCTGTCATAATTTGTCTTGTCAATCCAATTTCTCAAAATTTCTTATTAAACAGGCTGACCATCTGCGTGAGCAAACCCTACAACTGATGTACCGGATCCTTGATCCCCGTCAAGCAGCCAGAGGATTAGCAGGCTTAGGGGAGTACTTCAGTCGCCTCCGTGCTCTCAGTTCACTTTGGGCTGCTCGTCCTCGTGACCCAGGCTAGTGAAAGTGAAGCCTACTGGAGTCAGCTTCTTGGTTACTGTACATGGATAATGGCTGCATCCGTCAGTCCACAGTTCAACATGTATCTATAATAGAGCACTTATTCCTTCCATCCTTTTTCTTTCCTCTAAAAGTGGTGGAGTTTCTATAATAACGTTTAGCTTGTAAATATGTTTATGGCGTGTCTAGAATGAGGAAAAGTTATGGTGGGTTGGTCCGGCAGATTTACAGTGATGCGATATTGATCATTGAGGTTGGGCTGTTTTACTTGCTGTATAGAATCGATCAATATCAATGAGAGTTGGGCAATGGTACTTGCTACTGAAAATTTATTAGATGACAATGAACAAGGTGTATTGCGCAAATTTGTAATTTTTATCGTTATTACTTTATGTCAAATGATAATTACATCTTCTTCTATGTTCTTCGTCAGCATATGCTGGTGGATCGGTTAAATAAAATCTTTCTTATGCAGCATAGCCATAGCACTTGCTACTAGATATTGACACAGTCTTCAGTTCACTAATTTGGGGAGATGTATTCATGTGTCTATATCTACTCTATCATCTCTCGTCTTTTTATAAGTTCCGGATTATATAAAAAAAAAAAAAAAGAAATTGATAAGAAGAAGAATATAGTAAAACGGTTTGTCTAACATGTGTCTATGACTACATGGATTACAAATATTTTTGGTGTTAAACTAAAAGAAAAACCCTATAGACAAAAGATTATATAAGAGAATGATGAACATTGAACAATTTGTTAAATTATTGTAAATATAGATTAATCAAATATGGATATGGAAAAATTCTCACTTTTTTTTTTATTACAATAATTTTATTTTTTGAACAATATTACAATTCAAATTTTGTAGGCACTTTTTGTGAAGTTACTATTCAAATTTTGTTTCTATCCGCTCTATCTTTCATTTTTTAAAACTTCAGTAATCAAGTTAAGTTTCCACTTTTCCTTACGCATATCTTTGTCTCAATATTAGTACTCCGTTTACAATGTGTTAGTTTATTAACTTCGTTTATAATATTAATTCCATTCAAATACTTATGTGTAGTCATGCTCATAAAAAAATTCAAATTATTTTATTCTTAAACATTATAATGTCTTTTATTTAAAATGTCCATTATTCTAAAATACTAGAGCTGGCAAACGTCTCGTGTCGTGTCATGTTGACCTATTGTTTTAAGCCTTTAACACTAACTTGATTTTTTCGTGCGTATGGTGTGATTGTGTCAACTTTTATCAACTCTATAAAATACAATAGGTGTTTATTTATTTTTTTTGAATGAAGGTATTTATTTCTTAAAAGCAAAGAATAAAATGGAAAAAAAAATTGTGGTTGCAACAAAATGGACCTACATTGTGAGATTCAGAATCTACGAATATGAAAGATATACAAATACAAACTATCCACCGTTAATCAACTCACCTTCAAAATTCATATATACCGTTAATTTCCCACTGAAGTGTTAGTTTCTCCATTTTCCTCTTACTTCACGTCTTTAACAACCAAAATCCCTAATTCCCAAATTCCTAAATCCCTAAATTCAATCAAATTCCCCCAATTTTTGTAATCAAATTCAAAGATTATCTTCGAGCTTGCATTTTTGGATGAAATTATGAGCCATTTGAGGTCAATTTGCAGACCAAATGCTGTGGTTTCTTCCTTTGTATGTTGTTGCAGAATTAGGGTTCATATTTTTGGCGCCAAATCATCTTCCAGGGTTCCTTTTTCAAAACCTAGTTTAAGTTCGTTTCCTTCTCTTTCCTCCGATTCGTCGGACTTTTATCGGAGTGAGCCATGGTTGCGTCTGAATCATCGGAGATATGTTGCTCGTGCTTCCAATTGGACCGGCGAGAAATCTCCCTACGATGTTCTTGGTGAGTGTTTCATTTATTCGATTTCTTTCGTTTCGTAATTTTTGCTTTCGGTGTAGAGAGAGTCACGAATGACAATGATATAGACGGAATTTGATGATAGGATATGACCCCCGAGACTTTAATTAACTATGATAGCTAGCATACATGCTTTCATTTTGTGATTGAATGAATTTTTTCTTTCTTTTTTTTTTTATTTTTTATCGATTGATTGTAATTTGTGATTGATTTAATAGCTATGTTAGATTGTTAAAGGTATTTTTGGAGATTGATTATCTGCTGATTCGGGCATGGACTGTTTGTTTCCGAAAAATTGATGCTTGATATATATTGCTGCTTTGTAGGATAGAATTGGCATTATACTTTTCGGTTAAGCTCGGATATGTTATGTAATAGAGGCTCGTGAAGTTCAGTTTGCTGCTAAAATAAATTTTGATTAGTTCCAGTAAGTTCATATATGCTCCAATTAAGTTTCGGTGATTGAATTTTAGGCGAAACAAACAAGGTCTTAGACTTTTGCTAGTGGCAAGTACTCTGTATGTGATGAAGGTTGGAGAAAAAAAAAGAAGTGAAGTTCATGTTTGAAAATCTAGGAGATAGTGAGGAATGTGTTAAACTTATGTCGTATAATGTGAGATGGCATCTTGTTCTTATTTGACTATTTGTTTCTAATTTTGTGGTGTAATGTTTGATTGTCTAATTGCTATGTTCTTATCTTTGAGTCACAGAGCTAGAGAGGGATGCAGATGAAGAGCAAATAAAAGTTGCTTATAGGCGCCTCGCCAAATTTTATCACCCTGATGGTTTGTTTCTCTAGTCCTTACCTTGATTTTCTTTTTCTTAATTTGATGCTTGTTTCATTGTTGTGTCAACGAAGAACTATTCATTTACTTGGTTATGCTGTTGAATGCAATGCAGAGGTCTCAGCCGTTAAATTATTTGTAAACTACTAGTTGAGGCACAATTGTCATACAAAAAAGTTCATACATGTAGTTTTTATGCTTTGCAAAGGTAAAACCGTTTTCAGCTGGTGGATGACTGGATGTTGCTTACTGAACAAAAAGTTGTGCTAACATCTTTATTTTCCATGAGATGGTTTTAGTTGTTGCCAACAGCTAGTTTTGAAATGTGAAAATTTTTATAATAAGATAAGTACTGCATCTTTCAATACAGCACTTGAACAAATTACGAAAAAATTTGGTATTTGGTAAGTAGCAGACTAGCAGGTGGATGCCGATGCATACTCATACCCTGTTTGTCTAAGTTGAATTTTAGGTATTCTTTTCCGGTGGCTTATTGCTTTATCTGAATCCTGAGCTTGTTTTTGTGATATTGCTATTCCTTGGCTATATCATAATTTATCAATATTTACTCAACTGTTGGTGTAACTGCAAACTGCTTTTTAAATTCATCGTGTCATTGTCTCAATATCATAACCTTTCACCACTTTTGCATATAGGAGTAATTGGATCCGCTTGGAATGGATTAGAGACACGATGATATTGAAATATTGATTTTATTTTCTATTGTCAAATTTCTGCAAAGGGTAGCTGCTTTCCCAGCTAGTAAATTCTTTAAAAGGAGTGCTTATAAAATATGGTCTGATCCATTATATCTCTTGTAGTCTATGATGGTAGAGGCAATCTTGAGGAAGGTGAATCAGCTGAAACCCGATTTATTAAAATTCAAGCAGCTTATGAGCTGCTTGTTGATGGAGAGAAGAGGAGAAATTATGACATGGAAAATCGAGTGAACCCTATGAAGGTGAAATTTTGCTTACTAAATTATTGAATGAGAGTTACTCTATTACGTTCAAATAAATAGATTCTGTTGTCATACTTATTTTCTCTGTCGTGATACCTTTTTTTTTTTTTTTTTGAAAAGTGGAAATATACTTATTCAATATTATAATTTCTATAGGCATCTGAAGCATGGATGGAGTGGCTCATAAAAAAGCGAAAAGCATTTGACCAGCGGGGTGATATGGCAATTGCAGCATGGGCTGAGCAGCAGCAGCGTGAAATGAACTTGAGAGCACGACAACGTGCTCGATCAAAGGTATTTTGTTTACTTTTCCTACTTTTCAATTGCAGTCAAAGACTACCTATGTCTTCTCCTGGCAGGATGATGTTGCTAAAGTCCAGAAGTTCAGATAAGTTAATTACACATTAATGTAAGAGTGACTTTAAGATATTTCTATTGTCCTCCGCCAAAGACAAACTTTCTTTTAATTCTTTCCACCACTCCACCAGAGCCTATGAAGTTAATATGCCATGCATTAGAGGACATATCCAATCTTTAAGATTGTCAAACACTCTAGCTTAAATATGCCATGCAACAAGATTATAGATAGGGAAAAAGAAAGTATTAAGGTTGACTGTTAGGTGCCGTTTAGTTCACCTTATTTTTGCTTATCTGATCTGATCTGATTGTCTGATTTGACCAAACTTTGACCTTAAGTGTACGATAATTTGTAAGGAAAAAATATATTCAAGTGGGATTTTGTTAGATTCGTAATAATGTGTATTTTATTAATATGTAATTTTCATAATTTTTTTCATTACGAAATTAAAGATATTTAGCGATAAAAAATTGCATATAAAACGATGATCTGAACTTATTTTTTTTGATCTGAACTTGTTTTATCTACAATAAGTACAAATAAGTTGAACTAAACAAGGCCTTACTATCTAGTAAGTATATGTAATATATCTAGCTTGTATGCCTTTCGTTCCTAAACAATAGGTTTTGAAAGTGAATTAGAATACCACAACTATAATTTCTTTCGTGCTATTTAAATTTTTACTTATATGTAGTGTTGTGATCTTTTTTTTTTTTATTTATTTATTTTTATTTTTATTTATTGGAATCTTGGGTAAGGGTATATAAAGTAATGTGTTAATGTTTTAAAGTTAAATATTATGTACTTAGTAAATGACTGAGTTATTCAAGACATCCTAAAATATGAAAATCTTGCTAACTCTGTATTATATAGGAATGGAGTATTAAAAAACTATTCAAACATGTGATGGTAAATTGGTAAGGTTATTGCTTTGAAACCATTGAGGCTTCTTTATTGCAGTCATATATTCAAGCATTTAGTGGACCCTTATCTTTTATATGCAGTTACAGAGACTTGTTAGTATTGTGAAATTATACCTAATATAATGAGTTTCAGGTTGATCCTGAAGAAGAGAAGAGGATCCTGGCAAAGGAAAAGAAGGCATCTGTAGAAAACTTTCAGACTACACTTAGGAGGCATACACTTGTTTTGAAGAAGCGAGACTTGATGCGCCGTAAGAAAGCTGAGGAGGAAAAGCAAAAAGAGATTCGCCGTCTGTTAGCCGCAGAGGGATTTGAATTGGAGAATGAAGATGAGTAGGTAACTAGGTACATGTTTGGATGCAGTTTCTGTTCTTGTAGGTTTTCAACTTTATTATGTATACGTCTTCATTTATTGGCATAGTTGATAGTTCTGTACAAAAATGTATATACATGCTGGAGAAGGCAAGCAGGTTATTTATGATAGAAAAAGAAAGGAAAGAAATGAAATGGGGAGAATTCATGACATCTGAATTTATTACACTTTCACCACTGCTGAAAGACTGCAATCTTTAAGCAGCTTCTTGTTGTTTAGTCTAAATTGCTTACCCTGTACGCAATCGCTGCACGGTGCTGTCTCGGAGGAGTCGAGCACTGTGCGCACCGTACTTTAAACGACTATGCTCTTGTTTCGAAACGAGCACAACCCTAGTCTTATAAGCAACCACTTATCTTTAATATGTCAATAAAAACAGGAATAATTCAGTTGATGAACAAGAAACATGATGAGTACAAGTACAACCCTAGTTAAAGCATTAATAAAACACAAATATATAATATTACTTCAAAATAACTATGATAAGCTCATATTTTTCAAGTTATTTTTTTTTTTAATTTTTTTTTTTTTTTTTTTTTTTTTTTGTTTTGGGGAACTTTCTGACAAGCATAGTTAAATGAAAGCATTAAAACAGTACTGGGAAGAAAGAAGCTATGGAGTAGATCAGTTAGAAGGGACGTGGAAAAATTTGCCGTTGCACATGCATCTGTAAACAATAGGGCAAGACTCAGAAGCACATCTGAAGCTAACCATTACCCTCTTGCATGGGGAACAAACTCCACAAGCATGTGAGCAATCTGGCAAACTTGACCCCATAGGGTATACTTCTCTCCCCAACTCTTCTTTGTCTAGCCCCTATATATGCAACATAAAAAAAATATAAAAATTAAATAAATAATTAAATAATTAATTAAATAAATAAATAACTTTTATAAAGCATGCATAAAAATCCTTAAGATAATATAAGACAATGTTCTATTCACCTTACATTCACAATAAAGCAAAGTTAAGAAAATGGTGAATAAGTTTAAATAAGTTCAGATTAGGTAATTGTTAAGTTGAAAATTAGGCATATAGAACACATTGTTAATCTTTCTATTCATATTTTTTTTCCGGACATATACAAGCTCAAACCGCTCAATGAAATAATCCATTTTAAAACAGGGAGTTGCTAGTTTTTTAGTTGTGGTCTATCAACTTTGTGAACGATGCACCATTGAATTTGTTTTGTTAACTTTAGAATTTCTGCTTGAACTTTTTAAAACTTATTTGTAAGATTTTAATCAGGTTTCAATAAAAAAAAAAAAAAAAAAAAAAAAAAAAAAAAAAAAAAAATCAAAATAAGTTGAACACATATAAATATGTTAACCTAACTCCATAGATAGAGTTAACCACAAATTTACAAATTACGAGATTAAAATGCATGCTTGGACCATAGTTAAAGGAAAAAAAAAAAAATTAATTATTGGTTATTATGGTGTGTGAGAATATATCATTGTACTATTCATTCTTTGACAAAGTTAAACTTGTAAAAATCAAATGAATATTGGAATGCCTATGTTGTTATCATTTGTACACGAGCAAAGTAATTTGCATGATGAATAATGCCAACAAAGGGTGAATTTTTCACTAGCTAGCTCTAAATGAAATTATTGCAACTTATTACCAACCTTATTTTAAAAGATTTACTATCTCTATTAATTTTTAATTGCAACAAAGAGATTTTTTATGTCTCATAAATAATACACCTTTATTGCAACTAAAAATTAACAGATGTAGTATTATTAAAAGATGCTAAAAAAAGCAAAAAACACTCATATAATAGTCTCATTTCATAACAATAACACACCTTTCGGTTGGAGTGACTTTGATCCTCATTGACGGCTGTCCTTTTATGTAATTTAGCTGACATATCTGCCAAAATAAAAACATTAGTAACACAATTATGTATAATTTGAATAACAAAATATACATTATAATGCTTTACAACTACACATAATTAAGCATATTTGTTTTTTCTAGCTATTTGTTAAAACTTACAATGTTTTGGTTTGGAATGAGTAGTAACTGCGGCAGTAGTAAGCAACACTAACATAAGTAATACCAACATATTATAGTACTTGTAGGCACCAAGTGAGGATTTCATGTCTTTGTTCTTTTTAGAAAGAAAGTGAGAAGTAAATGTTAAGGAAATATTTTTTTGACTATATTTGGTAAATTATGTTGGAGGACCAAAGTATAAGGGAAGGAGGGATATTTATAATCATTTATATCTTTGACAAATGAGGGAATGGGGGCATTTAAATGTAGAAGGTACATTTACATGTTTCATTTCACATGATACATGCCCATGGCTTGATGGTCAAGGTCTTTTTGTTGAACCGTGTCAGCATCGTGGATGTTTGATTCCAGTTAATATTTTTTTAGTCTACTGAATACTTATGCTATACCTCTAATTTAACAAAAATTATGATGTTTGATTTTAATTTAGTCATTTTTTTCATCAGATAAAATTTGCATGAATAATTAAAATTTTACAATATACAAGCTAATATGAATAATTTAAACCACTAAGGCCTTTAAGATTAGTACATAACCTAGTAACCTACTAAACAATCAAATCATAAGGCCGCAAATCATGAGAGTAATATGCTCTTCTTGTGTTGGCCTTTGATGTTTAAGTCTGCCTTGTTTACACCAAATAAGTTCAAGTAAAGCCCTGATTCCTTCACCTTAAAATAATATTCTCATTTCTCTTCTAACAAATATATATATATATATATATATATATATATATATATATATATATATATTATATATATATATATATATATATATATATATAATATATATATATATATAATAATATATATATATATATATATATATATAAACTTCCTAGCTCCGTGTTTAGATATGATAATACCCTAATTGAAATTTTGAAGTCCTTAATTTCAACAATTTTTTATTTATTTTTATTTTTTATACCTTTGTTGTTTGATTCAGTAGATCGAAATGACAAGAACTTATAAACTTATTAATTAAGAACTTGATCTAGAATCCATAATTTTCTCTCCTCTCTCTAAAACTCTAGCCTCCATTGTTGAATTTTAGAGGGGCTTCCATCGGCTTTTACCGGTGGAAAGCCCCAATCGTTGTTTTTGTGTGCTTTTTCTCTTGCTTTAGGTTTATAATAACTCTTCCTCTTCTAAAAGAAACATTTCTCCCACGAAAGACAGGGTTTTTCTTCCTCTTTAGGAGGATTTGGTTCCTTCAAAAGACCGGGTTTGTCTTCTCTCTTTTGAGGGAGGATTTGTTTTTTTTTTTTTTTTTTTTTTTTTTTTTTAATTTTTTAATTTTTTTTTATTTCATGGATTGCTATGGGATTGTTTCATGGGTAAAACTTTGTGCGGGATCGAAAAAGTGATTAATCTTTCGATTACAATCTATCGAAAAAGTGATTAATCTTTCGATTACAGATCGATAGACCCCCTCGTCGAAAAAGGCTGTAATCACAACGATATGAAAGAGGGTATGAACAATGTACGATTTGCACCAACGATCGTAGTTTTGCTGACAAGATGTTTGTATTTAACTCAATTATCATGCATTTATTAGATCTAAATCACTATGTAGATATCGTATTACTTTTATTTATGAATCAATTTTATTTCAAAAAAAAAAAAGAAAAAAATTCAATAGATCGAAATCAAATACCTAGATTTCGTCAATATACAATGCTTTGTGAAGTGAGATATTATTTGTAGAGGAAAAAATGAGATAGTATTTGTTGTGTGTAGATGATCTGCTTACCTAGATTGTTAACAAAAGTTTTGTAAATTTGAATAAATGAACTAATTCTGTATCTTAGTTTAAATTGAATTTATAAAGTTTCTTATTTATCTCAAAAGAAGCAAACATTTTATGAGTCAGTTTGGTTTGTCTTTTGAAATTTTTTGCTTATTTATCACGAAATGAGTCAAATCTAACAATTCGGTTGTTCTAACTTTCAAAACTTTTGCTTATTGGAATAAATAAGCATATAATTTTTAATGTCCTGCACTTATAATTACGAAATTGCTTGTGGTTATACCTAAATAAAATATCGATTATTGTATTGTTTATTTTGATACAATAATGGTAGATGTAAAAACAATAAAAGTGAGTAATATATTATGGGCTGGTAAAAGTATGACAATGTTTACCGTTAAAGTCCTTAAAGTCCTAAAAGATAAGAGTATAAATGGCCTGGTACAAGCAAGAAAAGATTGAATGATAAAAATGAAATAAATACAGTGCAATAAATAGTTCAAAATTTAAAGACCCTGAGCACAATTCACAAACAATCATCCTAGTGGCTCAATTTTATTTTAATTTATTTTTTTATTTTTGTGTTTTGTTGTTGTTGTTGTTTTGTTTTGTGGGAGCATCGAATTCGTATGTTCTTACTATGACAAATTAATTAAAAAACAAATTACACCATGTATCTAAGGGTGATAATTGAGCCAACCAAAATTGAGCTAAGTTTGGTTCATTACACTTTCATTTGAACTCAAGCTATGTCGAGATTAAAATTTCAAGTTAAAATCACCATCAAACTCATGTTGATTATCAAAATTTTAACTTCTTTAATGTTTTTGCTAACATTCTAGCCCTTATCAACAATAATGCTTTACTCCGTAATTTTTACATCTCATAGTCTATACAAGTATACATAAATTGAATATGTTCATGAGCTTCTCGAGGCGAGCTATGTTGTGTTCAATTCATGAAAAATTGAGCTGAGATTGAATAGTTCACGAAGTATGTAGGCTCATTAGCACCACTAGATATACCTCAATGATTCAGTGAATCACAAAGTGCTCTCATATTTGAAAGTACGCAGTATGTAATTCTATCATATAAATTGTCTCTCTTATTAAGATTCACTTTTTAAAAAAAAAAAATTTGCTTCTCGATTCTTATTTAGTACCACAAATAGGTTTGGAAGGGAAGCATATAAGTATCCGTTTTCACTGTAATTAAGTCTAGACTCACATAATACTTCACACCTTCTTACAATGTTTGTGCTCGATGTTGTCATTCATGTCACCAAAAAGTACTTGACATGAGATGGATGTGGTTTATTTATGGAAAGGCTTCTTATAAACGTGAATTTCTGAATCTATTCATGGTTTATGAAACTTACAACATGTCTGACTCAATTTATGGAGATTTTCTTGTCTTTTTGCATTTGCAAATTCTCAAGGCTTCCCGCCTTTTTTAAAGCATCCCATGTAGCTAATACATTTGTAGTACCGTTACACTTCAATTCAACTTACTACTAATTTAATGCAATATATATCATGTAGGTCCAAAATTAATCCAAAAGTATTTATGTTTTTTAACACTGTGCCATTGCTTCTATGTAATGCAATTCAGTGTATAATCATATCAATGTATCATGGTGATTTGGTATAATAAAAGTTCCAATGTGGACCATGGAAAATTCAACTGCCTATGGATGAGATCAAAAACTGCTTACTCATTTCGATAGTCATATACGGTGTAAGAGTAATACATTGCATTTATAGGAAAATCAATCTACAACAAATTATACTGTAATTATCGGTTATCAACAACTAATTGGATAAAAATGTTAATTGACTGGAAGTTAAAGTTGCATTAAATCGACGCAATATATAACAATATGGCTCTATTATGAAAGTCTTCACATGAATTTTAAGACTTTATTGTACCATAACTTTCATTGTAAAGAGGATGGTGATATGGATTCGAAAAAACAAAAATAGAGAATTTCAATGTCGTTGACAATTCAACTGATTATGGTTGAGATCATACAACTACTTAAGCCATGTTTAGTTCATCTTATTTTTACTTATTTCAAACCAAATCGAAAAAATAAGTTCAGATTATATCAAATTGGAAAAAGAAGACATACTTTATCGTTTTATATGTGGTTTTTTCGCTAAATATCTTTAATTTTGTAATTAAAAAACTAAGAAAATTACATATTAATAAAATACATATTATTACAAAGCTAACAAGACTCAATTATTTGATATTATATCACTAATAAATAAAGCTGGTCTCGCAGCCAGGCCACGAGACAACGACACTTGACATTCCAGTTTTTCGCCATGTGTCGAGCCACGTAGGCGACAATTAAATATTATTGTAATTAGAGTAGATGCCACATTATATTAGATTGGATAGATTTATCTAGGATAAAAAAGTATACATAAAATAATTTATAATTCTTTTGAATTTTTTTTTATCTTTTTATTGACAATAGAATTTTACTTATAGCAACACACTACATATTATTATTATTATTATAATTAATATAAATATCTAATTGACAATAGAATTTTAAACCTATACGATTAACCATGTAATTATAATTATAAATATTGCCATGTATCATTAATTCTTTTTTAGTCTACCATTAATTTATCATCAAAGCTTTTGAATCAGGTATTCTTCATAATAGGTTGTTATATTTTTGTGTATGTTTGTGATTTGTTAATGAAATTAAAGAAGTAAAAATCAATTAACCTAGGACACAACATAAACTGTACAATATAAGGAAATCTTGAAATGAATTCAGATCAATGTTAACAAGGTCTTAGAACTTTACGGGTTTTCATTAAAAAGAGTTTCAATAATATATTTTTTTTTACAAAAAATAATAACAAACGTGAAAAAAGGATAATAAGTAGTGTTCCTATTCTCTTTTTGTATCTAACATTTTTCAAAACAACGACAACAACAACAATAATAATAATTCCATCTTCCTCTCGGTTAGGAGCGACTAGGGCAGGGTAGGGTATTCCACGTCATTTTCCGACAGATTATCGGCGTTTATCAGGCACCGTCAGGTCAAACGTCGGGTTCTCGACAGCGGCTCCTTCAGGGCAGGCGAATTTCAGGCGGTTTTCCTCTTTTTGGGTGCAGTTTCTGAGCGACTTTCAGGCTATTATCAGGCGAATTTCAGCCGCTGGATTCTTCAGGCGGGGCTGTGGGTGACGTCTTTTTTCTCCGGTGGCTCGGGCGATTTCTCAGGCGGTGTTTCAGCGTTATTCTGCGTTCAACGACATTCAGTTTTGCGTTATTCTGGTGTAATATTTTTCTGGTTGATGCGATGGTAGTGGTGTCTCAACAACATCGTTCTCGGTGTCTCAGGCGTTGTTCTCCGGCGTCTTAACAACAGTGTGTTTTGCGTCAATATTACAGTGTTCAGCGAGTGTGGTGCACCGCAGAGTTTTCTATTTTGGGTTGTGGTGATCGTCGTTCAACGTTGTAGTGTGTTTCGGTGGCTTTTCTACCATTCTGATCAGGCGTTTGGGTACTGTTTTGATTACAATTTTCTGGTCTATTTAGGTGCAGTTTTGAGTGCATTTTGGGTACGCTATTCTGGTCCATTTGGGTGCTTTTTTTTTTAGTGCATTTTGGATTGTGCAGTTCGGGTGCTGTTTTGGTGCAGTTTATGGTGGGCTGT